CTCCCAAATTGGAGAACCTTCTGAAAGTTACGCAAAACGGAATGAAGCGATTGAAAATGTATCATCTTCAAATGAACACACTGTTGATATGGTAGGCACTAGACACAATCATCATGTTAAACAAAGGAAAGAAAGTTTTCCCCAAACGGGAGTATCTTGGGGTCATCACCAAAGAAACAACTTGTCCCATCAAACCAAATTGGCAATCAATAAAAATACTGGTTTAACTTTTATCCGACCCTATAATGAAGTGTGTGGAAAGAATGAAATAACTGAGAACAATGGTGTTTCAACGAACTTAATAAATAGGAAAAGGACTTTAAAAATAGATTCGTATACTAGATTTAGTGAAAGTTCCGAATCGGACAGAAGTGATGGAATTACAACTGACATTTCTCAAAATCAGCATAGTGTCATATATGATATCAAACCTACGAGGTTAAATCAGACAAAATGTGTGCTCGTTGACTATTCGAAGCTTCTAAAATCTAGAGACAGCATTGTCAAACCACTTCCTAAAAATACGAAGGTGAAAAACGCGTTGGAGGAAATATACAGTATCAAAGAAAAACTTAGGATTGATTCGGAAATGAAGAAAAGAGCTGTAAGACGTAGTCAGTTAGAAGTATGGACATGACATTAGAATAGGACTGACAATAACGAATCAATTTAAAAGAAAAATAGTATGCCAAACCCTGTTGTTTATGTTTTCGATAAATGTAGAAACAACTGCAATTCAATAATTGACAAGTGTGACGAAGACCCTGACTACATTGAAGTAAAGATCTATTACGATGAAGATTTTTAATACTAGTAAACAAATTAAAGTCTGAAACGAAAATTTTGATTTGAACAGCTTTTAAAAGGGCGAACAGTAAAATATTAAGTCATTTTCAGGTTTTCAGTCAATTGTCGTATTTATACGCTTCGGTAAATTCAGGATTGTTCAGACAATTCTGCTGCAGTCAATTAAGATCTGTTTAGTACATATCAAGACTGTTCAGTGATTGTCATTTACCTGTACAATTCAACAACACACTGAATTATCTGAAAAGCTACTGAACTGCAAGCAAATAGTCTGATCAGTTCTGAATTAACGTCAGCTTTCCTGTTGTGAACTTTCCAGTTCAATTTTGTAACATTTCCGCCGCGCCTGTATATGGAGTACATATCTCCAAGTTTATAAAATATTCCATAGTTTGTATTTCCTAGCATGGTTTTCCTCTTTAAGGGTTAATACTTTCAAGGAAACTATTGAACCAAGTGTTCATAATGGTCGATTTTAAGTCATCCAATCTAAATATTAAAAGACGCTTTTATGATTTAGTTGACTGATATGGACTAACTGTGTCACGGATGATAATGGATGTATTCCATAGTCGTATATGTAGTTAAATTCAATCTTGTTTTTTCCGCGATTGTCGCATCAGCAAATACAACTTATCACCTATTGTGCACTTGCCACTCAGATAGCAATCTAACGTTGAGCAATCGTTAATCCAACAAATCCGATTTCGTTGGCCAAACATCGGCAAATAACGTTGGCCCAACGTTCTAAGTGCAAAGTGGACCAACATGATGGTATTCCGTTTATACAACTTGTAAATATCAAGGATATTTTTTCCATGAATAGATTACCCTAGCTTAATTGGCAAAACCATTCGGAATTTTGGGTCCTCAATACTCTTCAACTTCGCACTTTATTCGGATTTTAAAGTAATTTTTTTATTCGAGGGTTATTGTAGACGAAACGCATGTCTGGCGTACACGTATCTATGGTGAGTTTGCAAATTCTTTTAAAAAATGTTGGCCCAATATTGGACCAACGTTAAATATTTTGGTTAAATAAAAATTGATCAACGTTGTACACTGTAGAATATTGACATCATGATATTTACACAATTAACATCAGCTTATTTTTGTGTTGATGAATGGTTCAACAAACTTGATTTATTCAACCATGCAAATGTGTGTAGCTTTTGAGACAAATTGAATATTAAAATATACACAAACTAACATGAATAAAACACAAAACACCACAAAACAAAGGAATGAAATCTAAACATGCTAAGATAAATTTAAATAAAGATGAAAACACGTACCACATGAAATGAAAAAAAAAAAATTTATGGACTATACCACTGTAATAACTATTAGCAAACGAATATATCAACTAACTCGATACAAAATATAAACGGCCAACGATAATCCAACATAAAACCAACGGCTAACGATAAACAAAAATAATACCTCATGCAATTTATAAACCAATATACTAACCAGGGCCAACCATGAACCAACATTTTAACCACATGTAAGAATTTTGACCAATCACATCAAGTTGTATAAAATAACTACCTTCTAGAGATTTGGAGCATTTGAACTGATAACTTGGTGCAACAGATTGAATGTTACTGTCAAAAAAATTCAGATCTAAATATGATAATCGAGCAGCCAACGACGAACTAACGCATTGCCATACAATACCTTTTATTCGAACATAAGATATGTGAATATTACTCTTAAGAGCAAATTTAAATCGTCAGACCTTTACCAATAATTTTTTAACTAACGTTTTTCTAACGTCGTATGAGGATCCATTGAGAAAAAATAACCATAAAATCGACAAGCAATTATAAACCAACATATAAAATTGCCGAAAGTGAAATTCTAACCATCACCTGTAAGTGCCAAATATTGGCCCTTCGTAGGTCCAATATTGAAAAAACACTGTTGCACCCATTCAAAAATATTATGTCCAAATTGGAACACCGTTCAGCCAACTGTAGTATATCAACGCCAACGATGAATCAACAAGTTACTACAGTAATTGTTTTTTTTTTATTGAAATCCAAGACTTGTCAACATGACTTTAGTACAAGTGCATTTTCTTTGCTGCTTATGTGTTAAAAAAGAGGCATGTTTTTGTTACTGCTCGATATATCGGCATCAATGTTACTCACCAGGTCTTTTATGCTCATCTCATTGTTCGAAAATTTGGTCTTATGGTACTGATGATGGGGGAAGCGGGGTTGGTCAAATTGATTGTACCAGTTGCAGTGGTTGTGGCGCTTGTGTTGGTGGTGTGTTTTTTGTTTCAGACACAAGTAATAAAAAAAAGAAAATTTCCTGCGTCCTGCATCAGGAACGCTCAATGATTGTTTTGTAGAAACACATTTGAGTGCAGTATGCATGTTTTCAGATTAACCTTATTTGATTTATAGATTAGAATAACTCATCAAAGGTACTTTGCTTATAATTTTGTACGCAAGAGGCTTTTCGTCTACAAAAGACACATCAGTGACGCTCGAATAAAAACAGTTAGAAGACCAAATCAAATTCAAAGATATTAATTACAGACATGGCAATTCAGTAATTTAAAACAAGTAAACCTTTAGATTATTTATATTATTCTAATGATACCACATGTCATTCTGATTACATATAATAGATTAATGTTATGATTTTATGCTTTTTAGCCATCTAGGGAAACAACACAGCTTCATAATCTCACGAAGGCACCACTAATATTTTGTGTCATTCAAATAATCCTGATAAACAACGCAACAGAACATCTCATGGGACTAGTTGTTTTTTTTTGTGTGTGTTTGGAGCCTACTCCTATAGGCCTTCATCGCACATCTGAATCGACATTCTTCCACAATTCATCCAAGGTGGACAAGATACTAAAAAATGGTTTCATCATTTATCTTATATAGATCAAGTGTGGATTATTGCCCTGACCGCCACATGGGGACATCTGTGCAGTAAACTGTGTTGTTTGCTCGGAAAAAAATCTTAACAGTGTTTGTCTTCAAACTAAAAAGAGACTGTCACACCATTCAACATGTTCAATGATAACAATTTACAGATGATTTTGGTTTTTTATCTTGCAATCTTGCAATATTAATGTGTCTTTAACTTTGTACTTTTTTTGGGGTCTATTAGCATTTTGATTCCAGCGTCAATTACGAATCTTGTGTAAACAAAATGCGCGTCTGTTGTAGAGACATTTAAGCCTGATATCTATGATTAAGTCATTATCAGTTATATTTCGTCTATAGAATCATTGTTATGTATAGACATCGAGGGTTTCCCTGACCTTTATTTCTTTGTCAAGGTACATTGATTAAAGTAACTTTTCGTAATTTGCCAGTTTCTCATCTTCTATATGTAACGGGTCATCTTTTTTGTTTATTTCTAGAAAATCATTGAATGGCAATACCTGAACGTGGGAAACCTTACTCCATAGCGAAACCAGATATAAATGTCGTATCCCTTTTATTGTCCTAAATAGAAAGGCTGTGTGTTACAAACGTAGTCATAACAAAACAACTAATATGAAACATGAAAACAGAAAAGTACTTAGAAATTAAAATTTACACCAACAAAGAAAATTAAAAAAACCAAGAATAATATTCAAACAAAACAAGGAATGATGTACACGACTATATATTTTTATTGATTGTTGGTTGCTTAACGTCCAGTGGCAAATATTTCATGCATATTCAGGACGATATATATATTTTTAACTATGGCTTAGAGAGATACGGACTTCAACCATACTCTTAACTTTATATTCATTCATAGTGGTATATAGTTAAAACTTCTCAAGCTCAAAATATTCATAAAATTCATACATTTCATCGTCTTGCATAAGTTGAAATATTTGCCACAGGACTTTCAGCAAACCACAATCATGCAATCAATTTCACTCTTGTGGCGAAATTACGTTAAATCGGATTGTTTTTACTATAATTCAATGTATGCACACAAATTTCTTATGCATACATAATTAAGGTTTTACACGATTAACAAAATATTTGTACAAAATAATTACTATAATCACCAGACATAAACATCGCTTAACAAAAATAGCCTTTCAAGTATATTGATTTACTTCCCCTTCTTTTATCAAAAACGTATAAATTATTCATATTGTAACTGGCAGTTTTATAGTACTTCATAATTCCACATTACATTTTCTGGCAGTGGTGAGTACATGAGACTTTATATACATGTAGCATATGGTTCAGGCTTGGTGGGAAAGTCTTCAATGTTAAATTTTGAATATTACTTCATTTGAAAGCGAAAGCAACGCTTTTTACTTAGGACATATGATCAATAATTAACAGTTTACATGCATGAAATTGTTAAAGCGGAAAGTAGAAACAAAGTAATTATCCATGTTTAAATAATAGTCTCATAAGTGTGAATTATATGGGTATTATGTTTGGAGAATATAATTAATATTTTATTGCATGTGAGGAATATACAATACTGTGAAGTCACGATGGCTGCTCTGAGACACAGCTATTCTAAGGTTACAGATAACGCATTTCCACCATGCAAATGTTACCAGTATTTGAGCAAGAAAAGGAGCGGCCAGTATTTTTTAATGGGAAAGTTATTACATATTAAGGTATATCTATTACACAACAAAATGTATATTTTGTAAATCAATTATAGGCGAAATTTGATCACTAAAATACATTTCCTAAGATGTAATTAAGGATCGAAACGTTGGTCATGTAATTCAGGTAAAGTTTAAAATATATGTATAGTTAATCTTAGTTTTAGTCATGATTTATTAGTCGTACTACGTGCAATAATCTTGACAATTTACTATAGTATTGCAAACATTTTGTTTGTCATTGTGTGATTATTTTATCTAGATAACACACTTAACAACTGCAATTATATGTTTCAATTATAGTATATGAATAAATAGTGAGAAAGTAGGAAGAAACTACCTAGTAACATAACTAACTAACCAAATATTGTAAATTTTCAAAGTTTTAGTTTAATTACGACAGACATGAAGACTTTAAGTTACTTTATTGTAGCAATATTTGGAAAAAGCTATATTATCAGTTGTAAATTCATCATATGTAATACATATAACCTATGTATCATACAAGCAGCTTTGTTTGTCTTTCTGACCATCTTTATATACATTCCTTCAATGTATTAAAACTTTTTGTTTAATTTTCTGTATTTTGTTACAAATTATCATTTTGTTCTTCAAATTTTAATATTTCACATATCTTAGTTGTAGTCTCTTGGAGATAACATCTTGAATCTTAAAAGTCGTAAGAAAAGTCATTGTTTTCAGCTTTTCTATATGATCTCATGATCTTTTGTTAGGACATCTAGACTTTAAATGTAATTAACGAAAATAGTTTCACTTACAGCGTTAAATGTCCCCATGGTAAGATTAAAACATATTTGCAAATATCTGATACTGTACTAATGTTTTCTTGATATATTTTTATTCGAGAATTCTATTAATGGGTATTATTTCCAAAAAAATACACCTACTAGTATTTGTCCAAAACAATGGTAATTCAGCCAATTACATGATTTTATGTTCAATGTTTGGGTACAAGCAATGAAGTAACAAATTGTCCTTTAGATTCTGAAACGGCAAATTATCATCAATATTAATAGTTCATTTATCTTGCAGGTTAATGAAAAGTCAGAAAAACATCACGTGATGGTCAAAGTTGGTGGTGGTTGGGAGACACTGGAGGATTATATGGATCGTCATGTTCCATACAAATTTAAGATAACAGAGTATAAACGGCCATTATATAGTAACACGTGTGAAGTTAAAGACATATATCTTGGAATTACATCACATTATAAGTCCTGGAACCAATCGAAACAGTTTTATTATTCACTATTTTAAAAAAAAAATACTTTTTTTGGTGAATCAATTGATTCGCTGAAAGCTTTTTGTAACTGATAGGTATCTAATATTAAATAATTGCAAAACAACTTTCTTTGCAAACAACTTTCTTCAGTAATGAAGGACAGTAAATAATCACCAGACATAAACATCGCTTAACAAAAATAGCCTTTCAAGTATATTGATTTACTTCCCCTTCTTTTATCAAAAACGTATAAATTATTCATATTGTAACTGGCAGTTTTATAGTACTTCATAATTCCACATTACATTTTCTGGCAGTGGTGAGTACATGAGACTTTATATACATGTAGCATATGGTTCAGGCTTGGTGGGAAAGTCTTCAATGTTAAATTTTGAATATTACTTCATTTGAAAGCGAAAGCAACGCTTTTTACTTAGGACATATGATCAATAATTAACAGTTTACATGCATGAAATTGTTAAAGCGGAAAGTAGAAACAAAGTAATTATCCATGTTTAAATAATAGTCTCATAAGTGTGAATTATATGGGTATTATGTTTGGAGAATATAATTAATATTTTATTGCATGTGAGGAATATACAATACTGTGAAGTCACGATGGCTGCTCTGAGACACAGCTATTCTAAGGTTACAGATAACGCATTTCCACCATGCAAATGTTACCAGTATTTGAGCAAGAAAAGGAGCGGCCAGTATTTTTTAATGGGAAAGTTATTACATATTAAGGTATATCTATTACACAACAAAATGTATATTTTGTAAATCAATTATAGGCGAAATTTGATCACTAAAATACATTTCCTAAGATGTAATTAAGGATCGAAACGTTGGTCATGTAATTCAGGTAAAGTTTAAAATATATGTATAGTTAATCTTAGTTTTAGTCATGATTTATTAGTCGTACTACGTGCAATAATCTTGACAATTTACTATAGTATTGCAAACATTTTGTAGATTTTGTTTGTCATTGTGTGATTATTTTATCTAGATAACACACTTAACAACTGCAATTATATGTTTCAATTATAGTATATGAATAAATAGTGAGAAAGTAGGAAGAAACTACCTAGTAACATAACTAACTAACCAAATATTGTAAATTTTCAAAGTTTTAGTTTAATTACGACAGACATGAAGACTTTAAGTTACTTTATTGTAGCAATATTTGGAAAAAGCTATATTATCAGTTGTAAATTCATCATATGTAATACATATAACCTATGTATCATACAAACAGCTTTGTTTGTCTTTCTGACCATCTTTATATACATTCCTTCAATGTATTAAAATTTTTTGTTTAATTTTCTGTATTTTGTTACAAATTCTCATTTTTTTCTTCAAATTTAATATTTCACATATCTTAGTTGTAGTCTCTTGGAGATAACATCTAGAATCTTAAAACTCGTAAGAAAAGTCATTGTGTTCAGCTTTTCTATATGATTTCATGATCTTTTGTTAGGACGTGTAGACTTTAAATGTAATTTACGAAAATAGTTTCACTTACAGCGTTAAATGTCCCCATGGTAAGATTAAAACATATTTGCAAATATCTGAATCTGTACTAATGTTTTCTACATGTATTTTCATTCGAGAGTTCTATTAAGGTGGTACCTAACACTACAGGGAGATAACTCTGTAAAAATCAGCTAAACGTTTTAATCACGTTGTATTGTTAAGGAAATATTAAGCTTCTCAATGATCAAAATTAGTGTTTGTCAAACTGCTATATAACCAATGAAATTTTTCTGATAAAGTGGTTGGTTCAAATTTTGTGAAATTTTTATATTTTTGTCAAAGGGTCAAAGTAAACATTTTGTCAAAATTTTATGAAAATTAAACGAGCCAAATTAATTTTAGTCAAGGTGTTGGGTACCACCTTAATGGGTATTATTTTCAAACAAATACACCTACTAGTGTTTGTTCAAAACAATGGTAATTCAGCCAATTACATGATTTTATGTTCAATGTTTGGGTACAAGCAATGAAGTAACAAATTGTCCTTTAGATTCTGAAACGGCAAATTATCATCAATATTTACAGTTTATTTATCTTGCAGGTTAATGAAAAGTCAGAAAAACATCACGTGATGGTCAAAGTTGGTGGTGGTTGGGAGACACTGGAGGATTATATGGACCGTCATGTTCCATACAAATTTAAGATAACAGAGTATAAACGGCCATTATATAGTAACACGTGTGAAGTTAAAGACATATATCTTGGAATTACATCACATTATAAGTCCTGGAACCAATCAAAACAGTTTTATTATTCACTATTTTAAAAAAAAAACTTTTTTTGGTGAATCAATTGATTCGCTAAAAGCTTTTTGTAACTGATAGGTATCTAATATTAAATAATTGCAAAACAACTTTCTTTGCAAACAACTTTCTTCAGTAATGAAGGACAGTAAATACAGTAAGCCTCAACAAATCGAATTACAACTTTGTAAAATGTAAGTTATTCAGGCATAGTACAAAGTAAAAAAAAAAACACATTTTTTAACCTGAACTATTCAGAAAACACGATTTAGCAAAATGAGAAATGAATCAAATGAACAATGCAATCTCAGATTTTGTGGCTTCACAAATATGCTAAATGCATATTTCATGTATTTTGCAAAAGACCGAAGAAACTATCTTAGAAAGGTTATGTTGCTATTTAAATGATGTGTTGCCGGAGTAGTTTGACCATATTTCGTGTGACAACGGTTTATCTGACACCACCATACTTTTTAATATTTTATGCATAATGGAACTGAAATTATAAATAATATATATGTTATTTTAATATAGATAATGTGCAGCTGTTCTTAAATTTTTATAACAATTATTCTGAATACATAAGTGACTTTTATTCTAATATGTTTTTGCTAACACAAGTTTGAAACGATTTTTCCTCTTAATTTTGCAATGGGTATGCCATTATACAGTTTACAAATTAAAAAAAATTCTGACACTGACATTATCAAGATGCTTGATCTCTTGATTGACATTATATTTGTTACGTTTGGAGGACTTGTTTTTCAACAAACAATCGGTATACCTATTGGAACCAACTGTGCTCCTCTTCTTTCTTTATTCACACGAGGCTGACTTCATACTAGACATGTTACGAAAAGTTATATAATCGACGCTGAGGTTGTCAAATAACACTTTAAATGTGGGGACTGTGTCAAAACATTGATTGTCGATTATAACCGGTTACATTCAATTTGCGTGATGTTAGCTAGGTATCCTACACACTTCTTGGCTCTTTTTTTAATTACATTAATTTAGAATACTCATTTTCTGATATCATTGCTTGTGATTATTAGGCGGGAAAGGTGTACGTGTGTGCGAAGGGAGGGGGTTGATGGTAATTCAGGTATGCACTTCTAGATTTGAAAAAAAAATTAATAGTAAGCCAGTTTTTTATATTAATTACTGTTCTTCGAACATATCAATCTATCACTCCATTACTAAATCTCGTCCTGAAAATGCATGAAATATTTGTCACTGGACGAAAAACAAACAACAATCAAACAATATTTTCTAAACCTGCACATAGCTTTACAGTCTGGTTGATTTTTTTTTCGGATGTCTCCGTAGGCTTCCACCGACTGAAAGTTTTCAAGCGCCTAAAAGCGTGTTCCACATAATTATACCCGACAACCGAACGATAATCGCAAGTTCATTTTTTCTACGGTCGACTAAGAACTACTTAGTGCATCGATTTCACAAAGATTCGGTACCTAAGCATGTATTTGTGCACTCGTAGCATGAACAGAAAACTCAAAGAGAAATATGCAGGAATATGTATTTAGGATATCAAACTGGCGAAAAACTAGTCACAGTTTACATAGAACCCTTACAAAAGAAATCTCAATTTCAGTTTAAACTTGTTTTTTGTTTGTTTTATAAAGACTTCGCTAAAGTTAGAGTTAAAGAAGTAAACAAAGAAAAAAACATGCATTAGAGGATATATGACAGGGAGTAATTTTCGGACTGTTTGAAAAGCGTGTCAAACGGGTAAGACAATTTGAGACCTCAGAAATCACAGTGCGAAAGATTTGAAATTTTGCATGAATATATATAGGATGTCTTAATCCTCATTTCGTTGGGTCGAACCAGTCACATTTTACACGAAAATAGTATAAGGGAAATTAAGCTTTTCCTGAGTAGGTATTAACATATTATATATAAAATAATTTCCACGGTCTAATAAAGGCTAGCGAGGTCATAGAGGTATCGTGTTGGTCATTTGTACAATTGTAAAACTTCACGAAGTTTGAACTTCAGAAAACAAACGGCAAACTATATCCAAAATAAATCCATTAAAGGAGTTGCATAATACCTTGTGCACAGTTTAAAAGCTCCTAGGTTAAGAAAAAAGTTCTAACCTCGGGTAAACACCACCTTAAGTTAAATGGTCCGTCGCTATTGATTTCGAAAACGCAAAAAAATAAAAAAGCAAGTACATATTGCTTTACTTTATAAGGATTGGCGGGGATTTGTTTCTCTCATCCATTACTCCTTTTTCCCGGATTCCTTCTCTCTTTTATTCTAGATTTATATCCTTTCTGCAATACCCTTGCCTCCTATCAGTGTTCCAAAAGGATGATATATTATGGGATCTATCATTTTTATTCCTCTCAGAATAATTGTTATGGAATATATGTTCCATAAGGAATATTTATACTGAAATTGTATAAAAAAAAGTTTTCAAATAGACGTCTTTTATTAGACCTTTTCAACAACTCTCGATACCGACTATTGATACCTACAGTTTACAGAAAAAAATAGAGGGGTCGTATCAAAGATAAAAAAATCTTTCAGGTATAACATACATGTAACATATACGTACACATTCGATTTGAACGGTATTATTTTGAAAAAGATGGATATTAAGCAAATATAGCTATTGTGGATTTTCTGTTTTTTTTTCCTTTCTTTCATATAAAACTTATAATATGTAAGCATTTATTTATAAATCATTTCTCTTTCAATTCTATAAATCGAAAAAAAAATTTAAAAAAAATATCGGCAATCTATTCACATCCGAATCCATTGCTTCTTCGGTAATATCATTATTAATATTTAGTTGTACGAGTTTTCCATGGAAGACCACACTACTTACCAATAGCCGTTAACTCGTTTTTGGAATTTTATTTTTAGACTCTACATTTTCACCATCCCCATAGTAACTAAGTTACGGAGAGGACATTGTAACGGGACTTCCTGTCTGTCCGTTACGCTTCCAAAACACACTTGTGGACATCGTAGAGGTTGCGTTTCTCAACAAATCTCCACTATACGCCTGTACAATAAGTTGTCCCTTTGTTATTGATACATTTTCTCCGTTATCGGGCATAACATTTACGAGAAACACGTCTAGTGTCTTGTCAGCAGCTAGTACTACATAGCCTGTCAAAGCACTTGCGTTTAAGCGTCACGCCGTGTCAGTTTTTAGTCATATAACTTTGGTTTTCTATGAGAAAATTGCCCTTTTCTCTTGTCCCCGGATTTGTTTTTGTTTCTTGATTTTCCCTTTTGTTGATCTACTCTTCGGTTTTCTACTCTTATCTAGTTTCACTATGCTTCCCAATTGTCTTTTTTATTTCACCTCTGACCAAACATAGGGGATCCAATTATATAAGTAAAACCCCCGCCGAATATGTTATGCGACTGTTCCAAGCCCGGAATATGTTGGTCAATGGTATATTCTTTTCTCGGAAGAATTTTTATTTTACAATATTATGCTGCGGTATTGGATTTGATCTCTTTTTGTTTTTGTCGGGGCCGATCAGATCTCGCTGCTTGGCAATGATTACCCGACAGTATTGAAGATCACGCGGTAACTCTAAATGTCTGTTTTATGTGTTGCATTGTGAGGTTTTATGCTTTATTCGTGTCGTGTTAATAACCCGTGTCTGCCTTTTCCCATTATTGTCAAAGTCTGTTTTGTGCTTTTGGAATTAAAAACAAAATATAACCAAAATATGAAATAGGACATTCGCTTTATCTAAATGTTCTGTACAACTTGTCACTGAATACAAATTTAAATTGAACATAGTATGAGTGAATCAAAAAAAAACCTGCTAAGTATAAAGTACATTACGAAGGAATCTTAAGTCCAAAAATAACGGATTTTGTATAGAAATGTGCCGCCCATGTCAATATACATAAAACAATTGTCTGTTTAAATATTTACACTACTTTTATTTTTTCATTTTCCTAGTTAAAAGTAGCTTGAATCTCATCTTCTAAAAATATTGCAGAGAATATAAAGGTTCACCCTTTTATTCATTCATGGGGGTCTGGATGGGGTCCCTCAATTCTGGATTCTCTTACTTTTTAAGCCATTTTCTATTTTTATTTATTTTGCCCATTATTCTCTATTCTTTATAATTTAGCTCCCCATTGTTCTCTATTCTTTATTTTTTTTTGCCTATTGGTCAATTTATGTCTATTCTGTAAACCCCATCAAGACCCTCATTTATACTCAATTCAAAAAAAAAATTAAAGAATTTAAATCAGTAAATGGTTTACAACCAGAAAAAGAAAAAAATATCGTTGTGGTTAATACAAATAGGCAACAAATAAATCCTTTCAATTCAGTTACTGGTAACTTTATATACAATACAACCATTACTACTTTGAGACGACCAATTACATCTTACCTGTCTTAGTCGTTGTCAACTGTAGGTGTAGACAATTGTTGAAAAGGTCTATAAGGAACAAATATACGTGGAAATCAGTACTATGTATTTTAAACACAAGATTCAATCGATACACAGGTAATTTAAATCTGTCAATCACTTTTGTGTTTTGATACGATACCCATATTTAAAGTCTAATTTGTCAACCTCAGCGTCGAGTATATACCATTTCGTAACGCGTCTACTGAAACTTCTTAGGAAGAAGGAAAAGAAGTTAACAGTATCCTTTAACTCACTTTCCGCTATATTGATGAAGCTCTCTCATAATTTCGTGACTATTTTCAACGCGTTCATCCAATCGAACTTGAAGTAAAGGATACAACAGTTACAGTTGAGTCTGCCTCATATCTTGACTTATATCTAGATTTGAAAATAAGGGTCGGTTGAAAACAAAACTTTACGACAAAAGAGATGATTTCAGCATCCCAATTGTGACCTTTCATTTCTATGTAGAAACATTCCAGCAGCGCCTGCATACCTCCCAGTTGATACGATATTTCAGGGCATGTATTTCCTTGATAGAGGATTGCTGCTCACAAGGAAGCTATTAAATCAAGAATTCCAAGTGGTGAAGTTTAAATCATCCTTTCGTATATTTTACGGACACCATTACATTTTTTTTTACTGTAATGGAATATCTGTTTCACGGATGACAATGGATATGTTCAAATTGTCGTAATTACAATCACTTCCCCTTTTGTCCGAATGTGTCCTACCGAATTAGATTTAACATCCTGGTTTGTACTTACAATCGCAGAACGATTGGTCCCACGTGTGGAGCAGCATCTTCTAATTCTTCCGAAGCACCTGAGATCAACCGCAGTTTTTGTTAGGTTCGTAATGCTCTGTCTATAGATTTCCAAGTTGTGTTTTGTGTACTGTTGTATATCTGTTGGTTTATTTCTTTTTTAGCCATGGCGTTGTTAGTTTATTTTCGACTTTGAATTGAATGTCCATTTGGTTCTTTGCTATTCTTGTACAAATAATTAAAAAGTGTTATTCATAGGACTTGTAAGTAGTAAAATAAATGTATTATGTCGGTGACAGTATGTTAAAATTGTGAACATCATTTTCTGCAAACTTGAATCTAACGTGTACATAACACGTAGAGGGAATTGCTGCTAACATTTCAATAGACCGTTTGATTGTTGAAGCATATAATGTACACAGACTAGCGTATACATTTTTTCGCTATTAGATATATTGCATGTGAAAAGTGTGGTTTAAAAAAAGAGCTGAGTGACATGAGTTTGCTTAGAAGTAAGGAGCGAAGTAAGGAGTAAGAAATCTCGCCCAGTGTGTCGGTCTGGTACAAAATAGTGTTTATACCCATATCAAATTAACTTTGTTCTCGTCCTTATATGAATATTATGGTCGGTAAAGGTCAATTCATCATCCTCAAAAGTTAACATAAATATGATAGTCTGCAAACTTACTTACCAATGTATTCACCATTAGTTAGTTAACATCAGTTACACACATATGTCTGTCATAAGGAATAAACAGCCACTCAACAGATTGATAAATATATAATTATACCACTGTATTGAGTTTATTAAGATATTGCTCTACTCGATACAGTTACATTTTCATATGTTTAATGCAAGGGTGACCACTGTATTGAGTTTATTAAGATATTGCTCTACTCGATACAGTTACATTTTCATATGTTTAATGCAAGGGTGACCGAGCTTTTAAAATATTAAAAATGAAACTTCTGAGACTTGAGAAATATTGTCTAACACGAGATTTGGTTGTGGAATCTGTTTCTCTAATAATTTTTCGACTCTTTATCTTTCTGTTTCAATTCTCTACAGACGATGTTTTCTTTCTATGTAACGCCATCATGCATGGTCACATTTTTTGTGACGTCACACAAGAAAATTCAGAGGAAAGCAAGGAAATTGGATGTTAACATTGAATGTTGACGAATGAAAAATTGAGATCAGACAAACCCCATGCGCACGCTGATAACAAAACCATAATCCACCAGTCCTTAAAAGTATAAAACAGGTAAAAATCAGATAAACAGTAATAACCGATTAACAGAAGGTATATAAACATATATATATAATTAAAAATATTTCAAAGATCAAACATTAATTTAGTTAATGTAAATAATGTAAAAGCATGTAGTTTAATACTTGGTTCTTTTAAATAAAATATTATATTTCTTCTAACAAAGAGATTTAGTAAATTTTAATCTATATTAAATTTATCTTATATCCTATATTTGACATAAAAGATAATGACCCAAAGACATATACAGTTTACTACACATCCATTTATTACAAAGCCGATTAAAAACTATAGTTGATGTTTGAAACAAACCACTCCGTAATCTGATATATATATAGTGTTTCAGTTAAGTCATAATTTGGTCACATGCCAATATTCTTCAATACACACGGGGACGGTATACTTTACCAGTACAATAAGTTGTAAGCATGTCTTTTATGTAATGTTGAAAGACAAATAAAACGTCAATAGTTCAATTTAAACTGACAATAGGCAAAACAAATATTGAGTTGGATTTTCGCAGTTAATCAATGAAAAATAACAATCAGTCTTGAGGTGTTTCTGTACATCTTCGTAGACGAGTGTCATTAGTGAGCTTCGATTTTTTTAAAACAGCCGAGGAAAACCAAGAATTCGTACCTTAAGAGGTCCTATTCACCTTCTCTAGGTAGTATGTTTAGCGGAAATAATGATATAGAACCAATATAAAACTACAACTTTACAGCAGTAAGTAATATGCACAGAGCCAAAAGGACTCATAGATATTTACCAGATACGGGTGATCCAGATAGTGATGATTACTATAATTCAGATAAAGATGAACGAGTTTATTACAGCTATCCTCAAAGGAGACGCTTAATAAGATTTGTACCAACAAGGACAGCCTCCGAACAGCGTGATGACAGAATTATTAAAAGGTATAGTGTTCGACAGAAAGAGCCAGAAAGAGTCCGCATTATGTATCCATCATCTCATATCGTCAGGAGAACAAATTACGAAACCGAAAGTGAAACTCGATCTTCTTCTGATTATTACAGAGATAACACAAATTATAAAGTACATGTCATTCGATCAAAGCCAACTGGAAGACGGAATAATACAACATCAAATTTGCTTAAAAAGGAAGAACTTGAAACAAATTCGTATTCGTCTCCATCATTCCGATTTATCCGCCGGGTAAATTCGGGAAGTGAAAGTGAAACTGAATCTTCTACTGATAAAAGTGATAGTACTCAAACTAAAGCACGTATCGAAAGGTCAAAAATGAAAACTACGAGGTTTTCAAATTCATCTCCAAGACGTGTCATAACTTATCACATCATTGAAGATCCTTCTATTAGAAAAACAGATCGGAATGAAGCGAGTAAACTTGTATCTTCAAAAAATCGTATGGTTGATAGAGTAATCGTTAAACCCGATAATCTTGTTAAACGTAAGCAGGAAACTCTTCCTCGAACAGTAATTCCTGGAGGTCATAAACAAGGACACAACTTGACCCATCAAACCAAACTGGCAATCAATAACAATGATGGTGTTACTTTTCTCCGACCCTATAGTGAGGTTCGTAGAAAGAATGAGATAATTGATAACAGAAGGGCTGTCAAAGATATACAGCAATCTTTCCCAAACAAAACAAAATGGGAAGGGTCTTTAGAAAGTGACTCGTATACAAGTTCATATGAAAATTCCGAATCAGATAGTAGTGATGGATATACAACTGACAGTTCTGAAATTCAACAAAATGACAGATATAATACTCATTCTACGAGGTCAACACAGACAGAATGTCTTCTAGTTGACTATTCGAAAGTAGTAAAATCTAGAGAAGAACAGAGAATATACGAACAAGAGCGACGTCGACATGCGCAGGAAAGGCATATTGTAAGTTTAGTTCAAACGGAAGTAAACAAACCCCGTTTTAGCTCAAACATTACCGGCGATTCATGTATAACCGCTACTATTGAAAACAAAACAAAACCACTTCCTAGTAATACAAAGGGGACAAGCACGTTGGATGAGCTAGAGAAAACATACGACATTAAGGAGAAAGTTAGTATTGATATGGAAAGGAAAGAAAGAGATGAGAGACGCAATCAATTAGAAGTATGGGCAAAACCTGAGCTCAGTTTTGACAATCGTGAAACAATTTTAAATAATAATAAACAGGACCCTCTTGTTTATAATTTGGATAACTGTAGAAACAACTCCAATACAATAACTGACCAGCAAGACGAAGCACCTGATAATATTGACGTAAAGATCTATTACGATGAAGATTTTGAATCAATGTATCCGAAGCCACGTAAAAAAGGTTGCCAGTTAGTTTATTATATAGATTTGAGACCACCTACAGAAATAGTAAAACCAAAACCATTTGACGTATTTGAAAGGCATATCGTACCTCAAAAGAAGCATAAGGTAAGATATCGAGAAAAAAATACAGATTAAAATAAATCATTTAACAAATGTTTAAATAGAATCAAAAGAAGCTATCACTATCCTTAAACCTCCCCTTTTTGAGAGTTGCTACTTACAAGGAAGCCCTTTAGAATATGACATCATAATGGTAGACTTGAATTCTCCTTTGCACGTTTTTGACGCTGATATGATTTGCATTGGTTGAATGGTATGAAATATATGTGTCACAGATGACTACGGCTATGTTCAAAATATCTTATATGAAACTACAATCCCATCTTGTTTTGCTCGATAGTGGCATCAGTGAATGCATCTTATCACCTTATTTGTACTTGTAATGAACAGTACTAATGCAGCAAGATATGCTTGCCCTTCCGAGTACCTGAGATCAATCCGGGATCCTGATGGGCTCGTGTTGCTCAGTCGAAGTTTTCAATGTATCATTTTGAAAATCAGGCCAGATCGTTATTATAAGTAAATCAATGTGATCGAGAAACGGTCATTTTGATCCGAACAGATCTTCAAAGACTGCTTACATCCACTTCATTTGAATTTTGGTGGATAGGTGTATATTGGCAATCATACTTCTTCTCCTTCTTTTTATATTGAACAATAAATAAATAAGATATTTTCAGTCTTTTGGTAAATTTTCAGACTTAGCTACTGCGGTAAATTTAAAACTGGTCAAATATTTTGCTTGCATATTGTTGTAGTCATTAACAATCTGTTCATTCTATGTTCATACTGGTTAAAAGTTGGTATTTACTTGTACAAATCAACAATATACTGAATTGTCTGAAAAGCCACTGAACAATTCGTACTAACTTGTCTCTTAGCAAATGTTCTAAACAGTACTAAATAAACCACAGTGGAATAGTCTGAACACCTGTCGTATAGACTGAACATTACTAAATACTTAGTAATTCAATTTCAGCTGATGATATGACCAAAAGGCTGCATTTACTAGTCTAAGCTGTTGTTTGTCTTTTTGTCATTTTTTTTTCAACCATCCCGCCGTACTCTTGTCTGTGTCATCTATTTTATCACGAAAACAAACGACAACCATTGAATTACAGGAACCTGACAGGACAGGCACATATATTATGTGGCGGGGTTCAACTCGTTTGAAGCCGCCAACCCTCCACTAACCTAAGACAGCGGTGTAACAGTACAACATAAGAAACAAACTATAAAAATCAGTTGAAAAAGGCTTAACTCATCAGATGGCTACAAATAAAAATACATGTAACAAAAACACAGAGTGGACGTATAGACGGGTACGTATACACCCCAATAAAAAAGACAATAAGTACTATACAGATCTGAGGGTACTTGTAGTTACTGACAGTTAGTTCATAGCCGTTAACAACTAATAAAAAGAATCATGCATCTGAGACTGAAATATCAATCAGTACACATCAATCATCCTATGGATTTAGCGAAAAGACGTCATAAATAGTCAGAAAAAAACATGACCTTGTGCAATGCCAAGACATGTATATTATAAATCAACATACAAATGCAATGCAAAGTGTGAAAAAAAATTCTTCTAGTATTGGAAAAAATTTAAACTTTTACTTTTATCATTGCCGCCATTACGATTACTAATATTTCCACGGTCATTATTTCAGAAAAGATATGCCGATTATGCAGTCAAGGTTGGTGGAGGATGGAATACAATGAATGACTATATGGAAAGACATGAACCTGTGATAAGATTCGTTTATGAAAGAGAGCATTTAAAAAACTCTGATTTACCGGAAAAAAAGAAAAAGTACTATGGATTTAGGTCAACTTATAAGTCACCACGATATAATCGAGCTCATCGTACTATATAAATCAAAAACTATTTTTTCAGGACTTTAAGTTACATTTTATGTTATTGTTGATATTTTAAGGTCCGGACCGCTGCTTGTTAGTCCCTTTGGTACCATTTGCGAGGTCTCCACTGTCTAATCTTTACATGCTATTTTCTTATCAAAATTGTTTATTTTGTAACTATATATTCGTATTTAAACTAAGGTTTCAACTAAGGTTTCAACTCTAAGTAAGTCATATGCAGTTTTAGTTCTTCTGTTGTGATTTGGTGTGGTTTTCCTGCTCCCAGATATTTAATGTTTTTAACATTTCTCAACTTTCTGGAGTGAAGGTTATTGTAAGTTAATACTATTTACCAAATAAAGAGTCTAGCACTGGTCACATGAGACATGACAATTCTGAAGGCGAGACATTTTAGATTCATATGTTACCATACGAGATTTGCTGGTAGTTTTCGATATCTGAAATAAATATGTGAATATCTTACGGAAGTGAATTTATTTGTCCAACTATTTTCAAGTCGAAAATAAACTGACAACGCCATGTCTAAAAAGAAAAGAAAAAAGACCAACATACAAACAAACATACACAAAACAGAGCATAGAAAACCAAAGACTGAGCAACACGATCCAAAAACTGGGGGTGATCCCAGGTGCTCTGGAAGGGCAAGCAGATCCAGCTCCACATGTGGCATTAACATACACAAAAGCAGGCTTTGTCGTTCTTTCTGGTGATCTCTAGACAACAAGTTTCTAAAATATAATGTTATTTTGATATACGAATTAACCTCATCTTCAATAGTACATAAAAAAAGATAATCACCAAAAGAGCACTTCAAATTTGTACGAAATATTATTAATAAAGAAGACGAACTGGTATGCTAATAAGTGTAAAAATAACAAGTTGTGGTAGGATTGCGGATGAAACAACTCTTAACCAGAGACCAAATGACGTAGAAGTTAATTACTATAGGTCACTGTAGCGATACCGCTTCTGTTGGACTATCAGTCATCAAGGGTTTCATCAGCTCAATGGTCAGTACCTCGGTACCATTGATTATAACAAAACTTTCTTTAAATTGTCCGTTGATAAATTTAGAAAATATCAAGAAACTAAGGTTTCAACTTCCTCAAGCAAAGTTGACCTTTGATGAATTATGCTAATATTTGTAGTCTCTTTTTGGTCGATGACTCTGCAGCAGTTTTTGTATATTGGTGGCTTTCAAATATTTGGCTTTGAGCGCTCCCGATGAAATCTAGAAAAAGCGCTTTGAATGAATTAAATTTATGCAGTGTTGTTTTTTTCATTTTTTCTTACTTTTTGTGCAAGGTTAACAATTTTCTTACACTAATAATCATTATCGTGTCAGTATTGGTAGAATTAAGTGACGCGTTTTTTATAATTACTTTTGTAGGAAGAGCAGACAGAAGCCTTCAGTCTCAACCATTATGATCAAGTTGTAATATGGTTTAGATTTGTTGTAACATTTTGTTACCATATCGCACACCTGGTATCTATGCATAATAGTTAACAATGATCCTGTAAGATTTTAAAATTTAACGAGAGAAGACAACTCTTTACAGATTCAGTTTCGATGACCGTATTTTTACCAATCTCCTTAATTTAAAATAGTTCGTCATAAGGCTTGTAGTTTCAGGAGATAATATGTATGAAGGGGCCAATCAGAATCATTGATTGTCTCTTCCGGTCATGTTTTTAATTCAATTAGAGGCAAATGAGATTTATTGGCGAAAAATCTTTTCATACATCAGTTCTACCAACATGACCAATTTCGGATAAAATTGGACAACTATACTCAAAAAAAAGTTTAGAGAAGGATATGAATGTGTGTTTTCCAACAAATTGTCGACATTCTTATAAGAACGAACTGTGCGCCTCTCCTTGCCGACCTCTTCTTATTTTGATATGAGTCGGAGTTCCTTCAGACACTTGTCAAAAACAAGAATTTCAAAGAAGCCAGGTCATTTAATTTAACAATCAGATATATTGATGATATTCTTTCCATAAACAGTCCAACATTTTCTGATTGGGTTCTATTAAAATATCCCCCAGAACTTTAAATTAAAGAAACAACAGACACAGCTTCCCCCGCCTCATTTTTAGACTTATACCTCGAATTTGACATACACGGTCATCTTAGTACCAGAATCTATGACAAACGAGACGAATTTAATTTTGAAATTATCAATTTTCCCCCACCTTAGTAGCAATATACCAACCTGCATATGGGATACACATTTCCCAACTTATTCGGTATTCAAGAGCTTACAGCTGCTACTCTGACTTTGTAAAACGTCACCAGTGTCTGAGCAGAAAGTTGATGAACCAGGGGAATGTCAAAGAACGTCTCGTCCTTTTTCAAAAAAAAGTTCATCGGGAGGTACCAAGACCTTGTTGATAAATATTCCGTCACACTAAACTCAAAAACATATAAATGAAATAAATTAAAAAACATACAAGACTAACAAAGGCCAGAGGCTCCTGACTTGGGACAGGCGCAAAAATGCGGCGGGGTTAAACATGTTTTGTGAGATCTCAACCCTCCCCCTATACCTCTAGTCAATGTAGAAAAAAGAAACACATAGCAATACGCACAGTAAAACTATGTCTGTTTGTTTTGTTCATACATCGTTCTCAATATAATGGAATTTTATGCGACTGTCGTACAAGCGAGAGGTTTAGCTAGCTATAAAATCAGGTTTAATCCACCATTTTCTACATGGGAAAATGCCTGTACCAAGTCAGGAATATGACAGTTGTTATCCATTCGTTTGATGTGTTTGAGCTTTTGATTTTGCCAATTGATTAGGGACTTTCCGTTTTGATTTTTCTTCGGAGTTCAGTATTTTTGTAATTTTACTTTTTCCATATGGTTTCAAATACATTCCACACATTATTCCTACCAAGTTTGGTTCGTATTTGCCTGGTTGTATTATAAGAGTTGTGGGGAAAAAAACTCTAAATGAGATTGATATCAATTAGATGCTCCAGAATGATAGAAAAATTTTTATTACTAAAATAATCAAAATAGGAAATGAAACAAATGAATAAGTGTTAAAATCGGTAGAAGACCTAAAGTGTATTAGAAAACAATCCCAGTTAAATTTTCAAAAAGATATCCTGTAGCTTTAAATGGACGTCGATTTTCACTGAACTAGTACACATTTTTGTTTAGGGGTCAACTGAAGCCCGCCTCGGGGTGCGGGATTTTCTCGCTGTGTTGAAAACCCATTGGTGGCCTTCGGCTGTTTTCTGCTTTGGTCGGGTTGCTGTCTCTTTGACACATTCCCCATTTCTATTCTCAATTTTTCGTATAAATACATTTAAAGGCATGTATTCTTCAGTTTATATATTGATTCTTTTGAAATTTTAAATGGAAATTTTATCTGAACAACAACTGTATACGGATGGTTAAGTTTAAATGCATAAATTCACACATGTTTATTTTTAGTTTGGTACACACGTTTTATTTATTGTGCATAACAATGTAATGTGCTAAAACAAACTCATAAACTTCAATGGTAAACCAATAATGTCAGAAGAAAACTTTTTATATTGAACAAACCAAAAATAAGGATATACGTGATTTTAGTTTGTGTGTTAATGGTATAAACAAGGAAGTAATGAGCTTTGGAAGTAATAAAATACTGGGATCAACATGCAGAGATGAAGAAATAAAGAGAAGTGAAAAGTCTGAACAATCGAAAGATGGGGGATTTCTTGGTATTATTTGTTGTGACAGTGGCAATGTTCAGGAACCTTATTGCTATAGAACTGTTGAACACTTAGATCCAAAAGAAGTAGGTCAAAACAACAAGAATAATTCAGATCACACGGATGAAGAAAGTAGAAAGCCGGTGACCAGCTCAAACGACGAATGTCTTCAAGTTAACGGAACTTTGAAAAGGTGTAAACAACGTGCTAAGAATATTTCACAAACATTAGAAACTTTAGAAGAGCATCCTGAAAAGTTACAAAATGTATTGAATGATACAGATTTTGTGTCAATGAAAAAACGGAAAAAGAAAACCAAAAAACCTAGAACACGAAGCAAAGAGGAAAACAATTTAGAACAAAATGTGAAATTTGCGGAAATACTTATCAAGCGACTTGAAGATGTATTAGCTAGACAAAATAACAATCAAGACCTTGGCTCTAATGAGAAACATACAGCTGATATTGGCAGGACTGTAGTTCCTGTAGAAAAAAAGGAAGACTTGAAATTAAAACATAACGATTCCGTTATAGAAGTCAGAAAAGCTTCAACTACAAACAAACGGAATACACATGTTCAGTTTAATAAAGGAAAGACAACGTACGCAAAGGAAAAAGACAATTTCAAAGAATCCAATGTTAGGGAAGAGGATGGAAAAGGGCAAATGCAAAAATTGCCTAATACAGTACATGAAAAGGACAGAATCAAACATCGAAGTAAAAACCATACCTATTGGCAAAATAAACATCAAAACTCATACGAGGAGTGTATTGTCTTTGATGTACACGAACAATTAAGGAAACCAACTCATATTCAAGCGAACAAATATTTCATTATAAGATACGATTCTGATCATGAAGAAAATGAAGTTAAGCCACGAACATTCTCTCAATATAATCCGTTTCTAGACAACGTAAATGAAATGAAAAATGGAAAGTTTTATCGAGCAAATTCTACTAAAACATGCCACTCTACACCGAAACGGACGGGTAGGCTGTGTTGGACGGCGAATTAGGTTATTCCAAAAAAGTTAATGCATTGATTGTCACTTTTTTCAAATTATGAAAATGAGTAAATCTGTCGTTATCAATAATATTATCTATAAGGTGCGAATTACTGGATCTATTGTAATAAAAAAAGAAAGGATATAGAGGACAACACGCAACTGACACAAATCAAAAACAAAATATATGTACAATTTTCTTAGTTTTTGCATTTCTTCATTGAGGAACAGTCTCAACAGTCTAAGTCTACAAGTATTGTTTTAAATTTTTAATGATACCAATATCGGTAGAAGTTCAAGGTTAGAACTTTAATACAAATTTTATACTGGAATAATCGCATAATATGTTTAGCTGTAATCTTATTTCTATGATTTTTACTTTTACTTATACATATGATATTGTATATATTGCCACGCCAAAATCAATACCTCGTTCGTCTGATTCCCCGCGTGTTGTAAAAGGTCGACGAGAAAAAAGTACTTTTTAAAAAAACCCGCGTCCATAACGGAACCGCGCACCTCCGTCTCTAAATTTATGTTACAAAAATTTTAATCAGTTGTGCGTTTGAAATTAACGCCTTACAAACACGGAAATTGGCATCAATAACGATCTAGATCTAACATTCACAACGTTTATTGTGGCTAAATATAATATGATATATTTTCTAAATGTACGACGTCATGAGTGGAATATTTATGGTAACAGTGGAAACGCAGGCAAAGACCTTACTGCCAAACACAGCAGTGGAATGTGATTTGGACAATTCTTTTACCGATTTGTTTGAAGTGCTCCTTGCACCGCCACCGAATTGAAAGACCCAAATTATGACAATATAACAGGCATAAGAATGAAATTAAATCCCGAAAAGGTGTAACATACAATGAAAGGGCACGCAATGAAACTATTATATTTTTAACTTTTAACTTTTAAAAGGTTTTTTACTTGAATCTTTCATTTGTATTTGCTAGTATCGTTACAAAGTTATAATAAAGCATAGAATTTGATAAGCAAGTTTTTGTGGTAATTGAATATAATACAGCACCCAACCTAACAATTTCCAAATCTTCTAAAAATAAGAATTTGTATGATTGTCAATGAGACAAACTTTCCACCAGTGACCACATTTGTTGAGGTTAGCAACCAGGATGGCAGTAAAGAGTAAAGTTCAAGGTATTGCCTTTAACACAGAGCAATATCCCAATATACATAAAGATTTAATTTCAATTAAATTCTTAAGCAAAGCTATGACTAAGAAGTAATACCACCATTGTTTTTCTCCTATAAGTCTTTGTTAAATTGACATTTAAAAAAAAACAAATGCAGAATTTATCTTTGTTTCAAATAAAGAAATATTTGAAATGAGTAAAGTTTCATCCTGTCCAGTACTACAATGAAAATTTCACATAATATTTCATTGCATATAAGATAATAACCAACACCGGAAGTAAACCAATCAAATTTCATCTCTTTTTTGTCTCGCCTTGACGGGAGTCAAAAAGCAAGACATAGGTATGTTGTGTCCAGCGGCGGCGACGTCAACAATGTATTAATTTGTGATAAGGTCAGTTTATGGAGAAGTTCAGAACCACTAGGGGTAGGTCAATTATATTTAATATGCAGTTGCATAAGTATTGGCATATCTCATTTCCATGTAGGTTATTTGGCCCCACCCCCTCAGTCATGGTCTATTGACTTTAAAACTTTTGCTTATTTTACATGAATTAATTTGTGATTAGGTTAATTTATGGAAAAGCCCTAGTGGTAGGTCAATGATATTTGGTATGCAGTTGTATTAACATTGGCACATCTCATTTCCATGGAGATTATTTGGCCCCACCTCCTCGGCCATGGTATATTGACTTTGAAACTTTTCCTTAGTTGTCAAATTCAAGGAATATTTTTTTCGACCCTTTTTCGTATGAAACCGGACGTGACGTACTATAATTTGGTGGTAATACACCCTAAATTGAATATACTGAAACTATCTTCTTGTTTAGTTAATATATATAGCATGCATTTGAACACAAAGTAGTATAACTTGGTGTGGTTATTGAAGGACAGCCCTTTATAAATACACAAATATGTATAGTTGTACAAATGTATACAAAAGCTTTATGCATGCATATATGCTTTGCATACGTTTATTTGAAACAGCACACCATTCAATCTGTGCCTGTCTCAAGTCAGGATCATGTACACAGTTCACTGGTTGTTGTTGGTTCGTGCCTGTCAAATTGTTTTTCGTAAATTGTTTTGTTATGGATTAGGTCGTTAATTTTGTCAATTGATTTGTTTAATATTTTTCATGTCAGGGCCTTTTATAGCCGAATAAACAGTATGGGTTGAAGGCTGAACAGTTTCCTATAATTGCATACATCCACTTCATTTGAACTTTGGTGGATAGTTGTCTCATTGGCAATCATACCACATCTCCTTATTTTTATAATACATCAATTGTAACTTACATCAAACATGGATGTCTGCCTGTTCAAATTAAAGCTGTAGCACTTTTTTCATGTTCTGCAGGATCTTTATTTGAGCAGACTTCACAAAGTTGTAGGTTTTGCTACTAGTTAACATTTTTTGTACTAGTAATGTTGTGAAAAGTTCAACAGGGTGTTGGAAAACAAATTGAGTAGGGTAATATAAGAACTAGGATATGAGATAGATAAAAACATGAAGCACTAAAACTGTGTAAATTTCTGATATCGTTTCCTAAAATTACTAACCATTATAATATCACGTGATATGGTAGGGTCCCGTGTTTTTCAATTACTTCAAAAAAGAACAGAAATATTTTTAAATCTAAAACATTGAGAGCAATTTTTAAGATTGGTCGTCCAAACGTCAAAAGTATATTGGTGTGACTTTTTTTTAATTATTTTAAGAAGAAAAATAGTATTTTGACAAAGTTAGCTTCGAATTGTTGTAACTTCACTAATCACCTGCATTCAAAACATTTCGTTTTGTAATTTCAGAGGAGATGTTTTTGCAAATTGACCAATCGTCAACTTATATTGATTTTTGATTGATTTTTTAGATTTTTGGTGTTTTGACGCCACTTTTAAGCACCGCTTTTGGGCTATTTCGTGGCGGCCAGTTTTTATTGGTGGAGGAAGCCGGAGTGCCCGGAGAAAACCACCGACCTTCGATAGGAAAACTGACAATCCTAGTTAATTAAGATTGGAGTCGAGTGCACCCGCACAAGCGGGGTCCGAACTCACAACCTCAATGTTGACTGACTAGTGATTACAGTAGTAACTACTTAGACCACTCGGCCACCGAGGCCTCTCATTCAATATTGTCTCTACCGGCCATGGTGTAAGTTCAATTAGACATAAGTGCGTATTATTTATAGAAGACCTTTCATAAATAAGTCCTACCAATTTATCAAGTTTGGGTAAAATTGTCCAGTAAGCTGCAAATGTCGATGATAATGTTGTTAGTTATCTTTGTGCGATCATAAATTACAAATTCAATATTCTGATCTAAACTATATCAATAGCAATTTATTGACAAATTTTATTGAAAAGAGATATCTTTAATTGATTGCTGTGATATCATTTTTCATTAAGGAATTTATGGAATAAATGAAGTAAGAAAACACTAGGATTTGTGGAAATTATAACTCTAATCAGGATTGATATCAGATACTCAAGAAAGATGTGGATATACATAAGCACATGTTACTATCTTTTTATTCCCCAAGTCAGCAATAATGCGTAAAATCAATAAGTGTTTAAATAGGTTGTGGACCTAGACGTGTTTTCGTAAACTATACAAGTTAAATGTCCAAATCTGATAGCTTGTCTTAAACTTTATGTATACATGCATTCAAAGGTATGCATTCTTTTGTTCTTACAGTGATTCTTTTGAAATGTTAAATGTTAAATGGAAATTTTATCTGAATGAAAACGTTTTTAGATTTTTAAGTTGTTTAAATGCATTTAATAACACCAGTTTATTTTAATATGTACGTTTTATAAATTGTGCATTAAAAATTAATGTGCTAGAGAACCTCAGCACTTGACGTCAAAGGAGTACGAGTAATGTCAGTAGAAAATGAAACAAATAAACAATCAAATCATCAGGATATTCTTGATTCAATTGGTTGTGAAAATGGTAAAGACGGGGAGCTAACGAATGTTGGAACCTATAAAAAATCAAAATCAACAAACAAAGAAAAGAAAACGAAAAGTGAAAAGCCTGACCTATCGATAAACGAGGAAAAAATATTTTTTGATGGTATTCGTTGTAGCAGTGGCAAAGTTCATGAACTATCATGCGTTGGAACTGTTGATCACTCAGGTTCAAAAGAAGAAGAAACAAACAAGAAAGACCGAATGGATAATTCAGATAACAAAGGTGAAAAAAGAAGAAAAACAGTTGCCAAGTCAAAAAATGAATGTCGCCAACTTACTAAAAATATTTTACAAACATCAGAAACTACAAAAGATCAACCGGAAAAATTGCAAAATGTATCAAATGATACAGAACTTATGTTAGCTGAGAAAAAGAAAAAGGAAACTAAAAAACATAAAAAGGGAAAGAAAGAGGTAATACATTCGGACCAAAATGTGAAATTTGCTGAAATACTCAGAAAGCGACTTGAATATGAATTAGCTAGACAAAAACATAATCAAACCATTAGCCGTAATGACAAGGACTCTGTTGATATTGACACGACTGTTGCTAAAGATAACAAAGAATGCATGAAGGTAAAAGACCAACTGGTAATAGAAGAGAAAAACTATTTATCTAAACACAAAACAAATGAAGACGTAAAGACTGGTAAAGTAAAGACTACGTACACATTGAAAACAGACCATAACAATGAACGTAATACAAATAAGGAGAATGAGAGTAAGCTGATGCCGAAATCGTCAAATGAAATACATGTTAAAGATGGAATCACACATCGTAGTGAAAATGAAAAGCAGCCGAAAAATAAAGCCCAAAATACTTGCGAGGATATTCCTGTCAAAGATATCTATAAACAATCAAGAAAACCAACGCATACTCAATCGAACAAATGTTTCATTATAAGACACGATTCTGATCATGACGAAAATGAAGGTAAGCCACGAAAATCCTCACAATATAATTGGTTTCCCGTAAATGAAATGAAAAACGGAAAATTTCATCGAGCAAATTCTACTAAAACGTCCCACTCTACACCACATAAAAGACACTTGTACAAGACAGATTCTAATATATCTGTTTTCTCAAGTTCCATAAAGGTAAATGAAGAATCTCCAGCCAATTTGTATTCTTCTTATCAAAATATTCTCTGTCATACGCACAATAAAGATGAGTTGCATTGGCGTATGGGACAGAAGTACCGGTTTTCTGACGTTCATGATCGAGACGAAAATAACGAAAAGCTGAAATCCAATGAACCAAAAGTAAATGATAACAATTTGAAAACTCGCAGGAGACATAACACTAGTAAAGGTAATGAGACAAAAACGAACACGAATATTAGCCACACCACTGAAGCAAATAGCATTTCACGAGTGTCTAAGCCCAGATGCAATGCCTGGACTGTTGAGGCACCATACGAACAGGTAGCAGATGGAGATACAAGGAATAATAAATATAGGGAAAAAATAACCAGAGCAGCACGTCGTCCTCAAAATCGTTGCCTTTATTCAGAGGATGACGATAAAGACGTAGTTTTAAGAATGGTACAAATTGAAATTCAAAAACAGTACGAAAGAATAAATGAGGTTCGTATCAAAAATGAGTTAAACCAAAAAGACAGACAACAAGAACTAAATGCATCGTTCAATCGAGATTTAACAAAAGCGCAAAAAAAATCCAAAGAGCCATTTTGTAACCCTATCAAAAATAGTAATGCCTATAATGATGACAAAGGTGTTAATTTAGTCAGCAAAGAAAACGATGAATTACAAAGATTAAAGGTTAACACTGCAAAGAAGGACAAAACTGAAAAGAAGGAGAAATTCATAAACAAGACTTTAAATAAAGTTTACAGTGAAAAGACCAAAGATTCAGCAGAGGATTGGAATAATGAAAACAAAGATGTGTCTTCTCCTATGGTAAAAAAATTCAACAAGAAACCAGAAAATCTCAGGGGAAAGAATGATCTTTTACAGTCCGTCGTTGATATACATGATATTGGTGTCAATGTTTCGCCTCCACATCACTCACAGCAAAAGGTGGACAAATATTTCAGAGTACCGTCAAAGGTAAATAAGATACCGTTTACTTTAAAAACGGGATATATTTCAATGATTTAAAAAAAAAACAAAGCTATACATTCTTATTGAAAAATCTCCAGAAGTCTCAATTAGAATTCTAGTAACCCTGACTTTAAGCATTCCAAAGAAGAAGATAAAAATAACACATAATTGAATGATAGTGATCTAATTTCATTTCGGTGAAAATAGCAATTCATGAAATTTAATAATAACTACGTTGAATTTCACTTTCCCATATCGATTTCGTTTATTCAAGTATCGTTGTAAAAATTTATATTATTTTTACAAAAATATGCGTTTGCTATCTGCGGCAAAGTAAGACTTTTGAGATTAAGCAAATCAATGTCCGTTTAATTATAGATCACTTAACTTGTTCATGTATCATTAACTTTCTAAAACTTTGCACTTATGTTTTATGAAGAAGTAAAAGAAAAAGCTAATGAAAAGGTTTCGAACACAATAACTATGGTGTTATACTGACTTTTTTATAACACATGTTTCCATTGCCGACGTTATCAAATATTGGGGTATTTAAATGAATAGATAGAAATGTTGATGCATTAGACAACATATGAACATTTACAGCTAATATCTTTAAAGATTTTCACCAAAAAAATGTCACCAAATAACAGAGTATGGGGTGGATGTACAATATCTCCAATAAACAAAGTAAACGTTGAATAAAAACATTAACAAAAAGTAATGGTTTACCTTGGTGTTTTGTATTTTTGTTAGTATTTTTTTAGGCAATTGGCTCAAATTAACAATATACTCAGAGATAAGAAATGCACAATGATGTCAAATTGATAATCATTATAGAAATAATGCTGAATGTCTATTTTTTTGTATAAAAACCAATGAAAGTACAAAACAAATAGTGCAAACACAACCATTGAAAGGATTGTTATGTTTTAAAGATTAGAATTGTGTATCGTGTTGTTTTCAACAAAGTTTAACACATATTCACGGCTTATGGACCCTGCGTTAATGATGTATGGCTAATAGTAAAAAAAAACTCCTATTTCTGGGGAAAGAAATCAGAAGCAAACTTATTTACATTGATATCGAATTGGTATCAGATATAAGTATCACATACAACTGAATTGATCTGTATATTCCAGTATGGCAGTTTCATAGTAATTCCGAGAGGTTACTGTAAATTCAGAAATTATGGCGAGGTTTTTATTATTGCGAATAATGCGACTGAATGAGTATCGCAATAATAAAAACTCGCATTCTGATATCCGGTACATAAATCTATATGCATATTTTCCTAAAATCGCAATAATTAATCTCGCATTTTAGTAAATTCTTCAAAAATCGCAATAATAAATGCACGCAATAATTTCAAAATTTACAGTAATATCTGTTGTATGAAATGTTAAGACCAGTGTCTATTTACTTCTTATCTCTTATTTGTTTATTTAAAAATATTGAAACATATAGAATGAAAAATAAAAATAATATTTTTGCGAAAAAAAAACCAATTATTCATATAAAAAACTGAATGTTTAAAAACAAATATTATAATAAAAGGTAAAATAACAAAAATACCGAACTCCAAATAAAATTCAGAACGAAAAGTCCCTTATCAAATGACAAAATCAAAATCTCATATAAATCAAACGAATGGAAAATAACTGTCACATTCCTGACTTGGTACAGGCATTTCCGTATGTAGAAAATGGCGGAATAAACCTGGTTTTATACATTTAGCTAGCTAAAGCTATAGCTAACTGTTATGTTATTCATAATCTTTTACATTGTTTAACTTTTCTACCTGCAGAAAGATCGAAACAAAGTGGTAAGAGTAGGCGGTGGATGGAGTAATATTAATGACTACTATAAAAGACATGTGCCGGTGAAAAGAAGAGAATACAACAGGTCAAGCAACCATAAAGGACGATCATACCTTAGTTTCCAGTCACATTACAAATGTCCTCCAAAACTCAAACATCATTCAAAAGTTAAAGATTTTGCGAGTAAAAAAGTTACATTGAATTGAAATTTTATGATTAAGTTAACAAGAACCAAATTAAGAAACCGTGCTAGTCTTTACAATATTAAATGAATTTAAATTGTTTATTTATTTTACAAATATAAGTTGTTCTTCCAGCCATGCAAGCCAATTAAGCGTAGGTCCTGATAAAAGACGAAATTCAGCTGTTTATTAAAGCAAAACGAACGATTTTTCAATGTGCGTATATTACACACTCTTCATTAGAAACGCTCAACGCCAAACGTTAAGACAGCAGGAACGGAAGAATACCTATCGTTGACTTTCCTAATAATCAATTATGAAAAGCATGAATAGGCGTATTTTTATCAATAGACAACAACTAAGCCACAGTCTGTCTCTTATTGAACATTTAAAGGCACAAGATTTGTCTCCCCTCACACACTAAAGAAGTGCTAGTTTTAGCCACTGCTCACAGCGATCACTTGCAAACCTTAAGTGAATGACAAATTTTATGAATGACAACTCAAAAATTAGATGAATGATAATTCGTTGCCTCACGTCCTTTGGCAAATACGACATGCATATTCAGGAAGAGAAGAAATTTACACTGAATGTAACATAAAAGGTAAGCTCTGCTGTCAAAGATATATGATAAGAAAATTTAGACTGCGACTTGAAAATGAAGACATGATAGATAGGGGAAGAAACTTTGCATCATAGCAAACCATCTACGGGCTCCTCAAGGGTTGTTACAAGCTTAATGGGAACATTAGTGTGCAGATAGCGTGGCACTCTCATTCTGACAAGACGTGACTGCATATTCATACATTCCGCAGTGCAAAACTGACGTCCCTCTTTAGCTTGAGGTTTATTGCCGGATGGCGGAAGTGCAGGTGACCGTATTTGTATACCCCAGTTGACCCTTGGGTCGTACAGGTAGAAGCGTATTGATAAATACTATTTAAATATTTTCTTTTCAAACATAACAACAACAATGGAACAAAAGAAGAATGGAAAACATTTGATGTCTTGGAATGGATGATACAAATTCAAGATCGTAACGATTTCTTACTTTTGAACAGAACTTTACCTGATAATCTAAGAAAAACGTCAATTCGTGTCATACATGTACGGCTTGTTTTAATATTCATCATCAGAATTTGGAAATTTTGTCACTAGTTTGCTCATTTCTTTTAGGAGGTTAACATAAATTGCAAGAACAATGTCTATCTTAGAATAAATATTTTATATTCATGAGATTTTATGATTTTTTTTCTTTTCTTAAACGTGGGAAACGTATTATATTCTTACTACACTTTGGGACGTCATTATTTTTGCACAAATCGTATATGTTACAATTCGTGCTTGTGAAGATTATCAAATAAAAAAAGGTTATCAAATAAATATAGACGCATATAACATTTAATAAGAACACAAAGCAAAGTCAAGTTGCAATAGGTGACGACATACATTTATGTAGGTCGATTTCAGAAAAATTTACAAGACACTTACTTATAGCTCCTCAAATATCCATACATTCTTGGCTTACACATTTGAGGTTTGAGCGTTCCTGGATAATGTTATTATAGAAAAGGTCTTCGGACACACCAAATTTATAATTTGTTTATTTTCATTTTTCATTACCACGGCTGGTGACTGAGAGTATCATAAACCATGTAGTCAATGGCATATTTAAGGATTGCATGTTTCTTTTTGTAATTTTATTGTGGTTTAAAAGCGTTGAGCGAAGCACACTTCCGCGTTTCATAGTAAAAATGTGCGAACGTTCAACGCTTTTACAACCGTATACAAATCACGGATTACAAGATAGGCGAAAGATACCAAAGGGTTATTAAGTATTTAATTCTTATAATTACATTTTATGTGACAACTTTGAAATTACGAGTTAAATCAAGCCTTTCGTTCGTTTTATTAGCAAGATATTGTTTAACCTGTTTATCCTGGCTTTTTTTTACCTAAATTGTCGTCCTGACTTTTTTTTTTGCAAGTGTCTCATCCTGCCTTTTTTTTTTACTCAAAACTCCTGTCCTGCCTATTTTTGCAAATTTCATCCTAGCCCCCCCCCCCTAAAAATCAAATGGTAGCTCCCTTAACTAGAAAAAAGGAATATTTTTTTAATTTGATACTGACTATATCAACAAGAATATCAAGAGAGCCAGTTGTCGTAACCATAATGCCGTCCTCTTTTCCTCTAATGTGACCTATTTAATTCATCATTTTTCGTTTTTTACAATGGCATTGTCAGTTTGTTTTCGCTTTATGAGTTTTAATATCCTTTTAGTACTTTTCGCATCTCTTTTAGATCTTACAAAATCAGTATTCAGTTCTTCGTTTCAGCAAACAACGAGGTAATGTACAAAGGCAGCAGAACTGTGCAAATAATATGTAAACATAAATGTCCTCTGATACTGCACTAAATAGCTCTAGAAAACAAAAGTAATTTTGGTGCCAAACTTATTGACATGTATTCATATTTGGACACAAAATAACAAAGCCAGCAATATTCATTTAATTGAAACATAATGATTTTGTTTGTCTAGTGCATGAAAGAACACTTTTGTTAAAAGAAAAAGACATCGGTTGTTTTCATACAAATTGAGCATTACAAAAAAATCACATGATTTTCCTGTACTGATCATGACGTTGCTAGGGGGAAATTAATCAGCAGATTTTATATTTTTTAATATGCCATAACTAATAAGAAAGCACATGAATTAGTTTCCATACTTCGTGCAAAATGTGATACTTGCATTCATATCGCTTAAATCTTATAACATTTACATTCAGTTCTTAATGGCAGTATACAACGAATCAATTTGCAAGGGCAGCTGGAGAATGCTAGCATTTAAATCACAAACTATAAAGAGACAGACGATATTATTGGGACATTCAAAACTCATAGGTTGAGATAAACTGACAACGCCTTGGCAAAAAAAAACGAAAGACGATGAAAAGACAAACAAGTCCACAAAACAATACACAGAGAACTCAAACAAGATATTTTATCAAAGTTGGCCATTCTTTTTATTATCATTATTATTGCACTAGGTTACTCAAAATGCTAAGGTAAATCAAGTGTCATTTATTGACATTTGATAATAGTTGGACACAATAGAACAAAGCAAGCTATATTAATTGAATGGAAACATAATCTTGTTTGACGCATACCTTAAAGAGCACTTTTTTTAAAGAGCATATGTTTGGATTTACCATTTTGATATTCCGTCAAATGATCATTGGACCTTGGTATAATATTTAGATTGAAAAGGACAATCATGCGAGGCCCTCATTGGTAGTCAAAGTCGTTATGTACACCCCGTAGTAATTGTTCAGATATTAGTTGCAAAATTGTATACGAAAGTTATTAAGTGAATCAATTAGATATATCTTATCGAATTTCATAGGTTCATTATATACCGGAATCTATATGCATATAACCTCAACGCCATGCTTTAATACTAGGGTCTCTCCGCATTTGATTAGTTTCTTCTGTCGTTGACAACTACCTAAAATGAAGGGGGGAATACAGGAGAACGTGTAATCTGAATAATTCAAAATTTCAACCTTCGACTTCTGAAACCGAGGCCAAGTAATTTGCGCGGTACATTCTGGAGTATATTTCTTGGATTTACAAAGTATATGAATGACATGGTATGCGAGGAACTTGTCTATGAAACAACAACCCAATGATACAAAAATCTAATACAACCATTTCAAGGACAGCATAATATAATATTCAATACTAGAAAAGTGTCTATGACATAAATCAAGCTCTAAATCACCAGAAATGAGACAAAAAAATATGTAATAACTTGTCTCGAATCGTAAATAGTTTTAACAGGGTAGCAAGATCTACAACCAAAACCAAAGTCTTAAAAGAAACACAAAACTACTGCGATCAAACTTAAAACAATAACCGGCAAAATTTTTCCGGCTGACGAAAGGCATAATAATATGTGGCGATTTGTTTTTCATATTGATTAGCCGGATGGAAAACAACTGTTATATTCCTGACTTGGTACCGGCATTTTTAGAAGAAAATGTCGGTTAAACCTGGTTTTATAGCTAGCTAAACTTCCCACTTGTATGACAGTTGTTTATAATTCCACTATATTGACAAAATAAGGTGAGCAACCCAAACAGACACAATAGGATAATGTGACAATGATTGGGATCCAGCAACCAAAACTGTGTTAACAGACATCACAGACAAACGAAACAACTGAATAAAAAATTCAAGCAAAACAAAGCTGCCAACAAAAAAGTTGTAGTTGATAGAAAATTATTGAATGATGTGTTTTTTTTTTTTTTTTCATTAGTTTATACGAAATCGATTAACAACAAGAGAAAAGATTTCCGTAACAAATTTTAATACCAAGGTCGAAAAAGATTTATAGCATAAACGGAACTCATTTGAGATGATAGAGGCACAGTTTTTATCCCCATCGGAAAAGAAATTATGTGACAGTTTACTTGATTTCCAAAACCGTACCAATCTGTTCAGTATAATAATTTCCAACTAATTTTTATAGTTTGTTTTTATGTTGTGCTGTTACATAACTGTCCAAGGTTAAGGGAAGGTTGAGCGCTCACAAAAACCCCGTTACATTCTGTATATATGCCTGTCTTAATTCAGTGGTTTTTGTTGGTTGCTGCCTGTAATATTTGTTCATCGTTGATTGTGTTGTCGTTTATAAATCAGGCCGTTTATTTTCTAATTAGAATTGTTTCACAATTTGACATGTCGGGCGGGGCCATTTATAGCTGAATACAGTATGGTTTTTGCTCAATGGTGAAGGCCGGTCGTATGTTTACCTATTATAGTTGATACCATCCGCTTCATTTGTAATCTGGGGACAACTTTTCATTGGCAATCATACCACACCTCCCTATTTTTATATTATTAGTATCAGTAAGCTTATTACAAAAGGCCTGAATCATATCTTCGAAAGTCCGATTAAAGGATTTTTTACGTCGCATTGTTAAAAAGAAATTGTTACGACTACAACAGATATTGGCATACCCATATTTAAAGAATAGCTATTCTATAAAATTAGAAGATTTTTATGCATACACCGATTAGATTATGTGGCAGTGTCGTATAAAGAGTACAGATATCTAATAATCTTTAGTGGCAAATCGATCCTCATAGGAACGTAGCTTATCCAAGATTTCTAAAGACTTTAAATCTCAACTAAAATCGCTAATCATATATTAAGCTTCGTCACAAAACATGATGCTAATGTTTTATACGGTTGTAAAAGAGCTAGTCAGCATGCTTGTTTTTATTACTGTTTATTTAATATTAATAAGATTGTTTTATTAGGCTTTGCAAACGTGTGGTTAGGTCAGTAAATATCTAGATGTAAGGAGAAAGGTGAACAGTTATGGTCCTGGTTACCAGTAACCCGAATAATTCATCCATCCCCGTAATCGATATTTCCTACTTGGCATCGTTAGAGCAGCGGAATTTAACGACTGAATTATTTGGGTTAGGTCCAGATAAAATTATAAGCAATACTTTAATATTCACAAGTTTGTTTGTTTGTTTGTTTTTTATATTTCTTTTATTTGTTTGTTCTTTATTAATTTTGTTTGTTTTGTTTTGTTTTGTTTTGTTTTCATTTTTAATAGTCAGATATCGCTTAAAGATAGATTGTATCCATAAGATTAAAAAATACGTGAAGGATACAAATCATTTTCAAAGTCAAAATAATTCTATTATGATCATAATGCACAAATATTTCCGTCCGTAATTTTTAAATGTAGTCTGATCTTCACTCATAAATATATGCATTATAAAGAATTCACGAGATAATAGATAACTGTCACAGTGTTTCACACATTATTAGTTTTAAAACTTTAAATCAGTAATTATTTTTGATGCATTGTATTTGTGTTATGTGGTTCATTGAATAATTGAATAGGCTATGGTTTTTAATTATATTTGGTTATTCTTTTGTCGTAATATTGAAAAACATATTGTCTTATTTGTTTACAATAAACAATTTGTGTATTATTTATGGTAATTTTATCACGCTATCATGAATGTAACACATGCATTGAAACGTTGTAAACCAGCCTTACAAAATAATGTCGTTACTGTAAAAATGATCGGTATATTGTGTTTTTCGATTCATTGTGTTTAAAGATGCAAATGAGTGAAAAGGCCGAAGGAAATGAATCAAAAAACATTTCAAACAGTTAAACAAAAAGAACCGGAAGTCGGTAGTGAA